ATAATTTCGATTATCTGCATTGTCTTGTATCAATATAGGAGAACGAAGGAACTAGCTAGTCCTCGAGCAAACCTCGTGCCTTTTGCTTTTGAGCTCTTCGAGCTGGCCGGCCAAGATGGCGGCCAGGCCGGTGGCCCCAGCTCCCTCGACGATACACTTCTCGTTCTCGACCAGCTTCAGGATCGCGATCGCTATCCATTCCTCCTTCACCACGACCAGCTTGTCGATCAACGGATTCGCGGTGGCGAAGGCGTTGCAGCCCACCTTTGGTACCGCCAGGCCATCCGCCAGAGTCGAATCTATGGCTGTCTGGATCGGTCGATTTGCTTTTCGCGCCATGTAGAAACTGGGACACCTTTCCGACTCAACGCCCTGAAAACCGGCAAGATATTGAACCGAACGAGATCGGGGAAGAAAGATTCTTTAGTGACTTACGATGATCATCACGTTCGGATGAAGGGTCTTCACGGCTAGAGCGACCCCCGCGATCAAACCGCCGCCACCGATTGGAACGACCACCGCGTCTATGTCGGGAACCTGCTCGACGATCTCGAGACCCAGAGTCCCTTGTCCTGCCATGATATCCGGGTGATCGTATCTGAAACCCCGAGATGTAATCGACACGCATTCGTTCTGGAGTAAGTTTTAGGTTAGGTTTGTGTGCACCGCTGTGTACACCTCTCTTGTTTTATTTTCTCGTACATAGATTTAACACTTTGCACTCCAAACTATTTTTCAATTATTTTTGTTCTTTTTTTTTTTATTTTTCTGAGGGCAATTTAATAAATACCGAGTGCAACGTGAGAGTCGACATCTTCTGATCAAAGAGTTAAATTAACTCTCGATAGTTATATAAAGTGCAGTAGCGCTCTAATAAGCGTCCACAGTCGGGATCTGAAAGAGGACGCTTAAGAGGGGTGGTGTATTCTGCGAATTGGCACCGAAAGAAAGAGTAGGGATGAACGTCAACTGTTATATACCGATAGCAGTATCGTTTCCTACATTATTCGATTGCAAAGAAATTTAACATTTTAACTTTCCTCTTTTTAACTTGAATGCATTTAAACTTGATACATACGTACTTTAAACCAAATAAAACTATAATAAAAATAAAAACTATAATAAACTTAATAAACACATACTTTTAAACTAAACAAAACAATAAACATGAAAATGACAATTTCTGATGAAGAAGTGACAGAGTGGATCAATCAATATGGAGAAGCAGAAAGAATTAAAGAAGAGACAGATTCTGCAGAAGAAATCAACAGATTATTGCATTATCTAGAAGAAATTGCAAATCACGTGAAATCCGTATAGTAGATTATTACAATTCAAAACACTTTTCGTTATTCTAATTTTTTTTTCTGTAATTATTTCTACCGTCATTTATTCTCATTATTTGTAACTTGGTGTAACGTAATTTAGGAAATATGCTCAATTTACTATAATTAATAATGTATGTATTAAGCGAAAATATTCAACTGCTTGCAACACAATCCGAAATATCGGTATCGTAGATCGGCTCGTTTTATGTTTCACGTGTTGTATCGTACAGCGATCGCTCCGTCAGATCGTACGCGAAATAGATTTTTTTTTTTTT